TTAGCATAAATCAGTTAAATGACGAAATATTAGGTGTCTATTTACTTGTGACCACGCTGTGTATATTAGTGTTAGTGCTTAGGAAAACTTGGAAATATATGAATTTCAGTTGTTTGCAGTGAATCACGCAATATAATTTTTTATACAATTACAAATATCCACCTAATTATCTAAAAGTCCTATATCGAAACATAATTTAACTTTACAATTAATGTTATTAGTTAAAAGAAACGAAAGAGTTTTGTCTAAGTAATAAAAACAGGTTTGGATAAATTTTATGCATGTACATTAATTAATAATTTTTATTTTTATTTTTTTTAGATGGCCCGGCATGGCCAGGTGGTTAGGGCGCTCGACTCGTAATCTGAGGGTCGCGGGTTCGAATCCCTGTCCCATCAAACATGCTCGCCCTTTCAGCCGTGGGGGCGTTATAATATGACGATTAATCCCATTATTCATTGGTAAAAGATTAGCCCAAGAGATGGCGGTGGGTGGTGATGACTAGCTGCCTTCCCTCGAGTCTTATACTGTTAAATTAGAGACGGTTAGTGCAGATAGCCCTCGTGTGGCTTTTCGCGAAATTCAAAACAAACAAACAATTTTTTTTGAGTAAGCAAGTACATTAGTAGAGAAGTTTAGACAAACAAGAACAATTCTTTACTCTACTTGTCCCTCCCCTCGTTGGATCAGTTGTAAATTTACTGACTCCCAACGCTAAAATCCAAGGTTCGATTTCCCGTTATGGACAGAGCTCATTCAGTCTATTATTTGTCTTTGAGCTAGAGAACAAACAAACATAATGTACATGTAATGTCAAATTAGTTTGAGTATAGATACAGTTAAAGTCTTAGTATACATCGAATTACCCTATATACCCTATATCAGTGATGTTAAAGTAAATGTGCATAAAATGCTTTTTATGTTACAATTTTGTGTAAAGCAAAAAAATGTTTCTGCGATCTCATGGCCAGCGGAATGCAGAGATTTTGATTTGTCAACATATAATAAATAAATGTCATTGTTTTCACAAATATACTGTAAACTATTATTAACTCTGGCGGTCTTTAAAGTTATCGTGCGATAGTAAAAAAGGTTAAAATTATAATTGCTTTTAATCATAATATCAAAAAATCTCGAAACCGAAAATAGATTACCACAATGATTCACAAGTCATTGTATCTGTCATGGAAAATAATAATTGAGGTGGTTTCCGTTGCCTTCCTCAACGGATGTTGTTTACTGTTTGTATTACCTAGGTCAACAAAGGAAATGAGTATACTGTCGCAGCAACTGGACGCAAACTCGAATCTTCAGATTCACAGCCCGGTAAATTGGCTACAAAGCTCGCTTGGCTTAGTCAAAATATTAACTTTCTTAAATGGAGTGTTTTAGTGTCTAAAAATACTTGAACTGCCTCTAGTATAAAAGTTACATACAAGTACATAAGAATAATAGTCAGTATAAACATGTACAAAAAATTTTTACATCTACATATACATAACGATGGTTACAAATGTTTACATCTACATATACGCAATGATGGTTACATATGTTTACATCTACGTATACGTAATGATGGTTACAAATGTTTACATCTACATATACGCAATGATGGTTACATATGTTTACATCTACGTATACGTAATGATGGTTACAAATGTTTACATCTACGTATACGTAATGATGGTTACATATGTTTACATCTTACATCTACATATATGTAATAATGGTTACAAATGTTTACATCTACATATACGTAATGATGTTACAAATGTTTACATCTACATATACGTAATGATGGTTACATATGTTTACATCTACATATACGTAATGATGGTTACAAATGTTTACATCTACATATACGTAATGATGTTACAAATGTTTACATCTACATATACGTAATGATGTTACAAATGTTTACATCCACATATACGTAATGATGGTTACAAATGTTTACATCTACATATACGTAATGATGGTTACATATATTTACATCTACGTATACGTAATGATGGTTACATATGTTTACATCTTACATCTACATATATGTAATAATGGTTACAAATTTTGCTTTAAGAGGTTGGAACTTTCAAAAGTAAATGGCCTGTATATTCATTCATTAGACAAATGTAAGGAATTCTTAGAAAACTGACAAGACATTTCTTTTATTCGCTTCGTAAGAAATGACTGGATTTTTTTTTTTTTGAAATTCCAAAAATATGACAATAAGGTAATGAACTGAAGCTACGTTCTTACAGATTTTTTAATGTTCTGAGTCCAACGAATACTCGGCTTTCCATCGTTGCTATCCTGTTGTGAGTCAAATCTCTGAAAGAGGAAAATAAAATAAATTGTCATAGAAGTTATACTGTAAGAATAATGTAATATATCTAACGTATATTTAGTCGTTCAGTTAAACAATTATTGTTAACAAACCTACTGGTATAGTGCAGCTACATAGGGTTCAAATTACATTTGATTAATATTCCATAATGTATTTACATCGTTTTACCATTTTTCATATATTGATTTAATTTTGCGAACTAAATAAGAGACAGAAACCGATAAATATGTAAAGATATGTAGAAGGCTACGAAGTGACAAACAGACAAAATTCTATCCAGACGTAATTACAAAAAAAAGTTTTAAAATGACTCACAAAGAAATTAGTTGTTCCAATCCATTAAAAACTCCATTGACCAAGTTCACCAAGTTATTGGACGATAAATCTCTGTATAAAAATAAGATCTTTTGTATTCAAGTCAAGAATAATCCTTTAATTCAGTTAAATGTTTTATGGTATTTAAACATTAACTAAACTTCATTTATATTCATTAGATAATGGCTTATAACTATTCTTATTATTTCTTTATTTGAAACTGTTCTTCTCTGTTTTTTTTATATGGTGGAAAAGACAATAAACACAGAAGATTAGCAATAATTTAGACATCAATATTATCTTGTAGAACTTACAGATGAAGAAGTGACCGGAGTCCAAGAAAAGCATTACGGGATATATTCAGTAACCTCTGGTGACTCAAATCCCTAGAAATAGTCATAATAGTAACTTAGTAAAGTACAGAATTCTTTTATGGTGATTACAAATATCCTAATGTAAACTACTTGAAAAATATTATAATTTATTACAATTTACATATTTATACAAAATTGGAAAAACTGGCCTTAGACACCAAAGTCACTTACCTTATATTAAAAAAAAAGAGACAAAATTATCTCACTTATTTGTTTTATTCTTGCTTTTTCTTATATATATTACCAGTTCAGTAATTGTAACGTTATTATTGCTAAGCAATCTGAAGGTTTTTCATTACAGCATTAAGGACTCTACCTCAATTATTTTTATACAACTGGAGGCCTCTGCAGACGTTTGGCATCTAGTAACCATTTTCTAATTACCAAAACTTTCATCCAATATGGATGTTGATAAAAATCTAAATATTTTGCATGACAGTTCTGATGCAATTAGGTAGATTTAGATATAAACTTATGAAAATAAAATGAGTAAGTTTGTCTAGAATTTTATTTAAAAAAACAGCCCTGCCTCACATTTTGGGGCACTCTTACTACTATTTTTTTATTAATGTTTATTATTATGTAGGGCCCAAAGCATATATGCAAAATTTCAAGTGTTTTTGTAAATAATTAGAAGGGATTCGGAAATCTAAGAGGTACAGAAATATATGTACATACACAGGTACAACTGAAAATTACCATGTACAGAGTGATAGTGATGTTTGAAATAATTACATCTTAAAAACTACTTGTCGAACTAAAGACATCAGAGGCATCTTGAGAATTATAAGATTATCATTTTTTTTATTCAGAAACGTTTGAACGTGGCATGGAGTGTTTTAAAAAGTGTCGCAAAGGTGATTAACATATTTTCTATCATTTTCAATCAGGATATCAAGTTTAACCCTATGCGAAACTACTGCAAGCGTAATTTCCTCTGAAAAGTGTTAATTGAGTTCCGCTATTTCATATATAATGGTCATTTTCAGAATCTTCAGATTTATTTTACTAATCTGTAGACACTTCATTTCAGGAACCCCACGAACAAACAATTTTCTTTTACAATGTTTGGAACTTTTTGTGTATTATCAAAGATACATCAAATACTAGTCATCAGTTTTCAACATGATACTGTAATTCACATAGTCACAATCGTTGGTGATTTTTTGGTAATCTTTCTAAATGAAAGATTTGTGATTCTGTCTTCAGCGAAAGCGTCAACTTGAAGCCTTTTAACGTGTTTTCTTGGGAGTAGATGATAGCATTTCTTGAGTTGTCATATCCACCAAGATAAAAGTGGGTTTTGTTTGCTCGAAAGATGTTTACCAGTCATGTTACATCCATCATCGTCCTGGTTAAAATCTAATTTACAGAGTGAAGTCTCTAAGATGGTTTACCATCCTTATTGGAATGCAGGTGCTAAAATGTTGAGACTTGAGAGTAAGAGTTTATTATTGTTATTTCCAATACTGAAGTTTGTGGCTAGTCAAGTTCTCAAGCAACACCTCTTCTACATACCGTCTCTAAAGGATAATTCTCGGTTTTGGATATCCTGACAAACCTCCGCTACTGTTTTACTGATACAGATGGCTATCCAGAACAAAGAATATTTTTTTTTTCACAAATACAAATGTCTCGAACCGACGAATTAATTTTTTTAGCATTTTAGGACACTTTTAAGAAATGAACGTTTGTTTATTTTATCACTGGGATTGTTTTTGTTTTTTTTTGCCGAAGGAAAACTGTCATTATTTTTACAACACAGTCGAACAGCAGTTGCACGATCATGAACACTGACAGTCGTTTTATTCAAATCACCAATCCGGTATTGTTGATTCAAAAAAGAAATAAAAATTACAATAAAAACTATTTTGCGAGAAAAACGACCTTGGTAAGCAATACAGAGCTTCTATAATATGGTTGTGAAACATCTTATACTATGTCCAAACTTTCCAGTTTTGAAACATCTTATACCATATCCAAACTTTCCAGTTTTGAAACAACTTATATCATATCCAAACTTTCCAGTTTTGAAACATCTTATATCATGTCCAAACTTTTCAGTTTTGAAACAACTTATATCATATCCAAACTTTCCAAATGGTATAAGATGTTTCAAAACTGGAAAGTTTGGACATGATATAAGATGTTTCAAAAATCCAAACTTTCCAGTTTTGAAACATCTTATATCATGTCCAAACTTTTCAGTTTTGAAACAACTTATACCATGTCCAAACTTTCCAGTTTTGAAACATCTTATACCATATCCAAACTTTCCAGTTTTGAAACATCTTATATCATGTCCAAACTTTTCAGTTTTGAAACATCATATATATATCTATGTCCAAACTTTCCAGTTTTGAAACAACTTATACCATGTCCAAACTTTCCAGTTTTGAAACATCTTATATCATGTCCAAACGTTCCAGTTTTGAAACTTCATATACCATATCCAAACTTTCCAGTTTTGAAACATCTTATATAATGTCCAAACTTTCCAGTTTTGACACATCTCATACCATGTCCACACTTTCCAGAATATATCTTTTGATCCTCAATGTGCTTCTGGTGACATTTTGTTCTCTTGGTTACGAGAAGTATTCTTAATATATAATAATATAAATATGATTTTTTCCTTATAATCATCTTGTAAATATCCATTGTCACATTATAGCAAAACAAAGAACAATGGCTACGCAATTCGGAACAGAATAACAAAACTTAGAATTTTAATTTTTTAGCCTTAAAACAATTGACTTAGGGCGTTGTTGTTGAGTTACCTCGACCATTCTTAGGCTATTACACTTTATCCTAAGTTAAGGTAAAACAAGGTTGTTCTAAGTATATTTTCTTAAGACGAACAAAAATAAGTAGTACAATAAAAACGTTCATAAACTTACAATGTTTTCAATGAAAGTAGTCCACTAAAAGCTCGAGGGTGAATTTCTCGAATGGCATTTCCTTTCAAATTGCTATGAAAAAACATAAGCTATTCACGTTATTTAGGTTCTGTGTTCAGTTATTCCCAGCTAATAAATATGTCAAAAGATATCGTTTGTCTGAAACAAGATCAGTGCTAATTTTTTTTTTCACATTTACTTCTGAAACTGATGTTACAGAAGGCACCTCCCATGTGACTAAGCGGTAAACTTGAGAGCTTAAACGCCTCAATTTGTGGTTCAATCCCCGCGACTGACACAGCGCAGATAGCACATTGATTTGCTTTGCTGTTTTTCGCTTAAACCAACCAAATAAACCCACAAAATAATCATTAATTTGCTTTCATAATATGTTCATAAAGGTTTTATTTCCTCTTTTTTTCCTTCTCACTATTTAGTTGGCCCAGCATGGCCAGGTGGTTAGGGCGCTGGACTCGCAATCTGTGGGTCGCGGGTTCGAATTCCCGTCACACCAAACATGCTCGCCCTTTCAGCCGTGGGGGCGTTATAATGTGATGGTCAATCCCACTATTCGTTGGTAAATAGAGTAGCCCAAGAGTTGGCGTTGGGTGATGATGACTAGCTGCCTTCCCTCTAGTCTTACATTGTTAAATTAGGGACGGCTAGCGCAGATAGCCTTCGTGTAGCTTTGCGCGAAATCCAAAACAAACAAACTATTTAGTTGTACGGATTTACATCTTTTATAATAACTTCGATTTTGCAATTAGGAAATGAAATATTTTTTATCTCAACCAGGTTCCTAAACTTATAGATCATCTAAAACTTTAATATCACTATTTTCATATTATTAGAACGTGATTTTCTTATAGTAAAAACCACATTAGGCTATCTACTGTGTCCACCGAGGGGAATCGAACCCGGTAGGTTTACCGCTATCCCAGAGAGGGACGACAACGTCAGAAAAGACACACGTTTCAAATACAATTCTCTGTACAAACAAATCATCAGATGGGAATGAAATATTCTGGTACATATCAATATGCGCATGGAAATTATATTATTTTCTAATAGATAAAATACTTAATGTTTATGGATGATATGAAACATTCCAAATTTAGTTTGTGATTTCGTATTTTATATGCAATACACTTAAAATCAAAAGGGGAAAATAATTAATAACGGTTGGAAACTTACAACTTTCGAAAATGAATTACTGTTTTAGTGCGTTTTACATTTTACTGCTTTCTAAATAGAATATCATGTTCAGATCTAATTATCTAGTGACCTTATATTTTGGTGATTACTCAATTTTGGTTATTGTTTGAGGGGCGGAGAGTTTTAGTATATGCAACTCCACAGTGGGGAGAGCGAAAGAGACAGGTATGCATACTACATTATCAAATAAAAATGGATGAAACCCTAGTGCTTTCAACAACTGGTCCTCTCTTCATCAGAAGCAAAGACGACAGTCAAAACAAGATCGTGAAAGTTTGATTAAACCATGCACTAATCGCTATATGTCGAATATAGCTATTAGAAACCGCCAGACTTCATGATACAGGCTTAAGATCGAGAAGACCCGTTTTAGCCTGCCAGCATTGCACGGCATTTCAAAGTTTCGTTTGAACTCTCGTCGAGAACATTATAAGTGACCTCAACGCCATTTGTGGCCTATGCTTGTTTTGACTGAGGACGCGCCAGTATGAATGAACGTATAGAAAACAGACACATTTAAGAAAGCTACAAACAATACAAAATGCATTACTTACAACAGCCTATCGATTACCAATATCCACATCATTAGTTTTTTTTACACAAATATGCCAACTTATAAACACTGCCTGATAGAATCGTACATAGTTCGTTAAATTACTTTTCAAAAAATTGGCACAAATATAATCTATTTTGTGAATTAGACCGCTTTTGTATACATGATGACATACGCCCTAAGCACCTATTACAAATTATCTTATAAATCAACAAGAGGGAATCATCAATACTCGTGGCATTTTAAATTCTTTTAGGCAGGATTAGAGTAAATTTTTTCCTTTTTATTAGCTATATTTTTGTGCGCCAGCAATACCAAGCGTAAGGCACGTGTATACCCGATTTGATTTTATTACTCATAAGGATCTCTAACAGCCTACCCTCAAGTTGTAATTATTTTAGACAGGATTAGAGTAAATTAATCTATGAAACCTTGGGTGTGGTAAAATACATCAATCGAAAGGGTTTCACCTCCTGAGTCCAAAACTGTAATTAAATCTCAAATTTGTCAAGAGATGACAGAGCTATGGGCTAAAAGTTTGTACTTGAAAAACTCAAAGCCATTCTATGATTGGCTATGCCGGGGCTAAAAATAAATTAAGACCACCTTTAACTAAGATTATATCCATCCTTGATTTATTAAACTAGGAGAGCATTGAAAAGGGTATTTTATGTGCAATGCTCTCACAGTGATTAAACTAGACCTATTTGCGATGTGTGTGACTTTTGCGTAATAATGAACAAAGAGAAAGTGTGCTCCTCATGTTGAATATTTCCTTGGTTACTATACATGGACATGGCCTTGAAAGGGGTCAGACTATGTGCAATAGCATAATAACCTTTGATTCAGATCCTCATGTTGTAATTAAAAGAATATTCCACAGATGTAAGCTAACAAATGCAGTGGGAGGAAGAAGTCCAAAAAGATCTAAACACCGATAAAGAAAAAGTGCTTTCGAAGGGAGGATTTACTACGAAACGATATGTTGACGATGTATTGGGCCTTGTGATACGCTCTTTAGCATATGTAATCAGGATATGTGTTGATGTTGAAAATATGTGATGTTATAATCGAGGGTTGTAATGGACCATTTTGAAGATGAAATCATTATGTTCGTAGAATGGACAAAAAAGTTTTGATTTAAGTCCCATACACCAACGTTACAAACTGCTTGAATGCTATTTACTACGCAAAGCCAGAAAGCTTAAATTTAAGCTTGATCTTGCATAGGTTAAGAAATGGAACAGGATCCCCCATAACGTTGTCTGCCGAATTATCAGAAGTATGACGCGTTGGTGCAGTGACAGAATCATTGCTGCTACTGAGTATCTTTTTTTGACAAATTTGATTCTTTTAGAAAAGTGAATTCAGTCAGACCCTAACTCTAATCTATTTGATTGTTTGTTTGTTTGTAATTAAGCACAAAGCTACACAATGGGCTATCTGTGCTCTGCCCACCACCGATATCGAAACCCGGATTCTAGCGTTGTAAGTCCGCAGACATACCGCTGTGCCACTGGGGGGCTAATCTATTTAAACTTGACCTGTAGTAATAAGTCAATGAATAAATGATGTTCCTACCATATTATTCAATTTCAGTTCTGTTGTTCGGAGAAAAACTTCACTATAGAATTTTGGAGCATTTAATTTTTTGAAGTAGTTTATAAAATAAACAACTAAGTATCCTTAATGAGCATTCACAGTGTTTATTTTGTATATAAGAAATGCGTAGATACCATAGTAACAACGAGTAGTTGTTTGAAATGTAACAATATTTTCGTTGACTAGAAAACTGTATACAACAAAAATTAATGGCACAATTCTCCTTAGCTCACAATACATTTAAGCACTTTTAACTCACAGAAACACTCGAAAATTGTTTACTCACAGTGAGCGGAGATGTCCTAATCCTTGAAAAGTATTTGGAGCTAACGATGTTAGTAGGTTTTCATCCAGATACCTAACGACATAGAAATAACTAATATACAAAAATACATAAACAAAGCATAAGAAGCTTTTAGATGTGCCTTCTTATTTTTTGGACTAACTCTGTCTCTCATCTTACAACCTCAGCTGCCTTGTTATGCTTCCGCCATTATCCAGTTCTCAACATAATATATCCAATTTATAGCTGTCATTCGAGTTGACGTTCCCCGAATACAGATAGATCTTCAACAAGTGAGCAAATCTAAAGCTTTAGTATCTTTCTACGTATCTTAAATACACCTACGCACACTTTTGTACCTAATAAGAAGGAACTCCGGTAATATGTCCTAGTGCTAAGAAATTGTACCTTAATAAATTACAATAGTATTTGAAAATGAATGAATAAATTATCTGCAATTCGTCTGGATATAATTCGGCCTTGTATTAGAAATATATATATATATATATATTCACTTGGTAAATAATGCAATATAAATATTTCATTTAATTATATACATAAGATGCATACGTAATAGAAATATAACGCTAATATTCGCTATCATAAAAACCTATACGCTGAATATAAAATAATAGATCGATCGATAGAATGTAAGCCTTACGTACAATATCTTTAGTCGCCACAAATTATGAAAAGTTCTTGACGAGAGGTTTGTTATTCCGTTTCTTCCAAGATCTCTGAAAAGAAAAAATTAGTTATGGTTTTGACTAATAAAGTAAAAACCTCTATCCTGTTTGTATATTTCAGAATTTTTGCGTTAAGTTACACAAAGGACTATATTTGCCCACAGCCTACCCTACTTTAGAAATAACAGAAAGAAGCCAGATACCCAGCTACTTTTATCTGATCGAATAATAGGATTTGACTATCACTCTTTCAGCACACCCACGGCTTTAAAGCTTGTCCACCTAATTGACCAAAAAAATCGATCCAAAGGTGCAACAGTTGATGATCGAAATAGTTTCTGTTAGTTGTAAACATTTGACTTCCTAAAGACTACAAGTTACCACAAGTTATTAACCACCACGACTTGTCAATGGAGATGAAATACTAAGATAGGGGGATCAAATGCGAGCACATATTTCACCTCAGTGTGTTCAGCACAACAATCGTTTTACTGCCAATTGAACAAAGGGTTGTAAAATTATATCAGGAATTTTATGAAAAGTCAGCAGATCACCTAATGGCATTTAAACAGTCGAACGAATTAATGTAGCACCTAAAAATGGGCCAAACAATTAATACAGAAGAGCTGGGATTGGCCTAGTGTTAAATTAACTGAAATACATAAGTGTTAGTATGATCGAAGCTGTTCTGAGCAAACTTCAGAAACTGACGCTGCCCCTGGAAGACCTACGAGACCAACAAGTACAACAGTGGAGACATGAGCATAAAGAAAAAATTGTATTCAAAAATATTAAAGTTTTTTCGGTCCACGCAATGTACACTTTGAATCTCGTGTGTAACACTGCAGTCAACGGTTGCACCGAAATAGTGACGTTTCTTGATCTGACTTAAAACACATACATCCTATCTTTCTGCTTGAACTAATATTTGATTAATATGGCTAAAATATTTTGCTACTTAACTGTCAAACCATTAAGTTACGCTGATGGGAATGTAGAATTAACGTAGTTCGCGTACTCAAACACCTGGAGAAGAGGCCTACAACGCTCGATTCTCCATTGTGGGTAGTTGTGTAGCACGATATGACTTGATGTATTAAATCAACATCAGCAGAAAGCAGTTTCTAGTTAGCGATTTCTAAACGTCTCGAGATATTTATACAACTACAAGTAAAAGGATAGTTGAAGATCACACAAAGGCACTTGTAGATGTAAAGGATCTTGCAGGAGAAATGGAAAACATTAATTATGTTTACTGAAACCTAGCTCTTGAAGAAGAAATGGAAAACATTAATTATGTTTACAGAAACCTAGCTCTTGAAGAAGAAATAGAAAACATTAATTATGTTTACTGAAACCTAGCTCTTGAAGAAGAAATAGAAAACATTAATTATGTTTACTGAAACCTAGCTCTTGAAGAAGAAATGGAAAACATTAATTATGTTTACTGAAACCTAGCTCTTGAAGAAGAAATAGAAAACATTAATTATGTTTACTGAAACCTAGCTCTTGAAGAAGAAATGGAAAACATTAATTATGTTTACTGAAACCTAGCTCTTGAAGAAGAAATAGAAAACATTAATTATGTTTACTGAAACCTAGCTCTTGAAGAAGAAATGTAAAACATTAATTATGTTTACTGAAACCTAGCTCTTGAAGAAGAAATGTAAAACATTAATTATGTTTACTGAAATCTAGCTCTTGAAGGAAAAATGGAAAACATTAATTATGTTTACTGAAACCTAGCTCTTGAAGGAGAAATAAAAAACATTAATTATGTTTACTGAAACCTAGCTCTTGAAGGAGAAATAAAAAACATTAATTATGTTTACTGAAACCTAGCTCTTGAATTCGATGCTAGTTTCCCTGTTGGTCAGCGATAAGTTTAGAGATTTACAACGTTAAAATCCGAGCTTCGATTCCGTGGTGGATAGAGCGAGATAGCTCATTGTGAAGCCTTGTGATTACAAAAACAACAACAAAGCAACGTAACTTGTGATGAATTGGAGGTTTTTCACTAAGAGTGATTACATTTAATGCAAAAAGTTTATAGATGTAGATGAACAATAACAGATCAGCTAGCAACAACCAACTCTACCCATCACTGTTGTTATTGGAGAAAGAAGCTTTTTTCAAACTTAAATATATTAAAATCTATCCGAAATCAATCACGACATATCCAATAAAGGAAAGACTGGTAAGAATTTCGCTCGAGGATATAAGCTATAGAAAAATTATACTTGAAACAAGCAGAGTGTGATTTTGCCTCGATCAATTCAAGAAAAGTGAAATAAAGCATTTCCAGAATCTTTGAATTGACGCTATGACATTTCAACTATTATTGTAACATTCTTTCAAACTTTAATAAATAAATTAATTTGACTGGTAGCCCTACAGGTTTTCGCACAACAGACAGAAAAATTTGAGGAATTAGAATCAGCAGAGTGGAAACGTGTCTAGTGTAGCAAAATAGCTATCTCCAGGCTGAACGTATTTCAAATCAGCCAACGCATTCAATACTAAGACCAATTGAAACATATTGTTTCGATATTTTAAAATTTTGGTGCTGAAAACCCATATCAATAATGTATTGGAAATTCTGGAGCTTTATGTTTCTGAGAATTGAATGAATTTAAAACTAATATCCATAATAAAATGTGATATAGGCTAAATTTAGAGTTGTTTATCCAATATGTAATTACAATAGCTGAGGAATTGCATTAAATTTAAGTACTAACATGGTCTAAAGTTCTAGAATGTTCGTTTATTTAACGTCTGATGTATGTTTACTTGTTCTAACAACACCTTATGCACAAAATGGGCTAAAAGAAAAGCTCGAACATTTCTACTTTTCATGCATTGTCGTCTTTAATTTTTAACTGCGGAAAAGAGAGAAGTTTTTTGTTAAGCACAAAAGCTACACAATGGACTATCTGTGCTCTGCCCACCACGGGTATCGAAAACCGGTTTCTAGCGTTGTAAAGAGGGAAGACAGCCAGTCAATAGTACCCGTTATCTGAAACGGCTACTCTTAACCAAATAGCGAAACTGACTGTCACACTTACAACAGCTCAAGCTTGAAATGTGTTTGGGACCCTTGGATCCCCAGTCTGAAACCTTAATCACTAGGCCACTCTCGTCCCAAGCATCTGGTGTCACAAATCATTTTAGTTGAACATTTAAAAGGAACATTTGCCATAATGAACAAACGTTCATAGTTTCGACCACTTTGAGTTTTTTTTTTTTTTTCTATCAAAAGAACTGAAGAGACAGCGAGTAGTTTACTTCACTCAAATAGGACCAAAAATATTGCTTACAGCGAATGATGCTAATATAACAATTTTTTATACTGAAAAGTAATCTTTACGGTTAGCTTCTTTTAAGTATATTTCTACACTGCCTCAAGTAAATATGTTTGTTTGTTTTGAATTTCGAGGAAAGCTACACGAGGGCTATCTGCGCTAGCCGTCCCTAATTTAGCAGTGTAAGACTAGAGGGAAGGCAGCTACTCATCACCACCAACTCTTGGGTTACTCTTTTACCAACGAATAGTGGGATTGACCGTTACATTATATCGCCCCGACGGCTGAAAGGGCGAGCATGTTTGGTGGGGAGGGGATTCGAACCCGCAACCCGCAGATTGCGAGTCGAGCGCCCTAACCACCTGGCCATGCCGGGCCGTATAAATATGAAAGAAAATATTTTGTTTCTTAGCAACACAGCCAATTGAATGTTAGTTAAAGTGGAAATAATTTATAAGATACAGTCACTAGCAAAAATTCGATTACGCAAAAAAGAGTTACACTTTACTTTGGTAATACGTACATTAAATGCCTTAGAAATAAACGGGAAAACACTTCCAAATTATATTTTATATTCGATTACGCAAAAAGAGTTACACTTTACGTTGTTAATACGTACATTAAATGCCTTAGAAATAAACGGGAAAACACTTCCAAATTATATTTTATATTCGATTACGCAAAAAGAGTTACACTTTACGTTGTTAATACGTACATTAAATGCCTTAGAAATAAACGGGAAAACACTTCCAAATTATATTTTATATTCGATTTGCAATTTATTATCTCATTATCATATATAAAGTTATTTTTAAATACATCTTACAATTTGATAACTGACTTAAAGTCTTACAAATATTGGACTCACATTTAGACTAAAGGATATATATTTCAAAATTCTTACAGTATTCTTGTCTTTCCCATACTTGAAAAATCTTCAGTTTGAAAAGCACCACTCAAATTATTGCCCCGAAACAAGCTTACAAAAGAAAAAAAGAAAGATATTTTCTTTTTACCCAACGTTCTAGATTAACTAAGATTATCCTTTCAAATTACATAAATTGATAAACATTAGAGCAATTACTTGGAGTAAAAAACACAGTCCACTGGAAATAGTATTCACACCCTATTTTTATTTCATAATTTAAAAAAAATCTATAACAGCAGGATGTAAAGATTTTATGAACTGCATCTGCGTGTTTAGAAGTGGACAATGTTTCGATCTCAATGCTTTCAGTACTGAAAGCGAAACGTCATCTGGTCTGACACTAAAGACATATGTTATACAAAAATACTTCAAATCTAGTATAATATTCATTGCCTTAAACACCTTTAAACTACAACACTGCAATCTATAAAATGTACAGAATTCCATACGATTCTGCCATTTGAAATAATAAATCATGTAATCAAAATCACATGCCTCTAATTACATTTATAAATAAAGTACGTTTACACTTTCACTCATTAGTAAAACACGTGCATAATAGACGGCAAATCGCAATAAAACCTTTAAATTTTTGAAATAGAAAGTAAAAAAAAAGTCGAATAAATTGATTTTCATCAACTCCACATCTATATAAATATCAAAGCATACACCTATATTCTCTGAGTGTAAATACTTGTTATATTATTTCAACACCTAAATCGTTAAAACCAGTTTCATGATTTAGTCGTCATTTCATCAAATTTGCTATAAACTACTTTACATATCATACAATTTTTTTCTCTCTAGGCAGAGGGTCAACCAAAATAAAGCATAATAATAAAATTACTAAATAAACTATGATTTCATTAAACATGCTTTTAATTACTCTCTATTTCGTAATCTAAATTAAATTTATCTTCCCCACCGTTCTATGCTGAGTAGAAATGTGTGTATAAATATATGTTTAATGTAGTTCAGTTTTGCTTTGAATCATTTGGTACGTCCACAGTATTTGCTTTTATGATTTTCTACATTCAATCTTCGCAAACATGCAAAACATTATTTATTAAAAATAATATTAGACTTACAGACGTGAAATCTGGTGCTCTATATTTTCTGGAAATGAAGTTAACCCAACTTCAGTACAGTTGATGGTAATATCAATACAAGGACAGCGAACTTCTGATGAACACTGGAAAGCTATATGACAATATAAATCAGTAAAAAGCAAAGAAAACGAGACGTTGAGAGGATGTTGGCGAATTGGATGTAAGTAGGTGATGAACACAAGTGTGAAGTTAGAAATATTTTGTTGTATAAATAAAATATCAAAAATTTTTTGAACCATAAAGAAAACACTAAAGGTAATGAAATTTCATATACCAGAAGTCTCAATTAAGTCTATGAAATGTTAGCAACAGAATATTTACGTTGTTACTTGAGTGTGTGCGTGTGCCATTTAAATACAAAACAGTACAATACCACAATATATTCCAAGCATCTTAAGTTGTGGTGCGTTACAAGAGTGACAGTAAATCCCTTAGAGTGGATGATGGATGATAGGGTGATTCTGACTGGCTGCCCTCCCTCTGATCAATATTTTATAATTGTGGATTGCGGCAAATAATCAGAGGTGTAGGAGGCAATTAAAAATACAAATTAAGTAAAATAAGGATCACGTGTGAAAATTATTATTTATAAAAGCATTTTACGATAATTTAACTTTGTTGCTCGTATTATTTAAGCAGTGATTTATCCAGAAACGTGAAACGCAATTAAAAAGACGTTTGTTGAAAGTCACAAAACATTTACTGCTTTGTTTAGTAAAGACGTATTCATGTTTTGAATTTAAAATAGTATATCAGACTTACAATACATATATTAATCCACATTAACATGTTCACTAGATGAGAAAATTTGCGACTGAAAATGTTAAGGTTCGGTTATGAACAATTTAATATTGTAGTTTCTCTCATAACCAATTTAATCGAATAAGACGTGCTCATAGTGAGGATGATTTCACTGCTCTGTTGCTAAGGGATAGAGACAAGAAAATATTTTTTAATCAGACGTCTCAATATCGATAAGACATGACACTGTTAGTTACGAAACGAACTCTCAGTTTCACACTAAGTAAGAAAAATGAAGATTTGTTAAATTCCTTCACGTGCTAAGACAGGTTTACTGGGGAAGCACAATGAGATCTGTCAAGTAGTCTGACAAAAAGTATGCCAAAACATTCAGTATCATAACAGTATATGTAGGAGCTCTTTGTTGACTGGCTGAACCTCCAAATCACTATGATTTGCGTCTAGAACCTAATCATTGAAGAAATTCTAAGACATATGTTAAAGATCATAACAATTCCTTTCTATTATATTTATCTTAAGCAAACTCTTTTTTCGTTAAAAAGTAGGTGTTTGCATCACCAAGCAAGTTGTTTTTTGTTTTTTTTTCTGGAACCTATCCGTCTTTATTCTCCCCTTTTTGCTGGACTATATTAGATTATACTTAATCCAAGTCAAACCCCCAACACGCACACAGGACACTTAGGTTGTCATAAATAATACGTTCTATGCATACCACTAAAATAGCCGTATTTATTGTTTGTTTTAAATCAAAAGCTACCTGTATTGAGAAGTCATTCATTTCAGACTTAATTGTACTCGTCGTGTTAATATAACAGTAAGTAACATTTATTAGATAGTCTGTCAATACCAGTTGGACCAAACGTGGCGGATAAAGGCTCTTTGGGTCTATCATTCATGTTCCGTTACCGTCCTCTCCCTCCAAATAAAAACAAAAAACAACACTCTGCAATTTGGGGCCACAGTGCGTTATAGGAGTGGCTGTCAAATCTAACTATTCGCTCAGACAAGAGTAGCCCAAGAGATAGTGGGGGGTGCTGTTGACTAGCTGCCATCCCACTAGTCTATCACTACAAAATTAGAGACCGCCGTGTGAAGATGGCTTTTGACTCAGTTTGCGTAAACATAAAAAACAAAGTCCAACACAGGTAATATTTCAAAGGGGTTTATTTTTACTTATTCAGATAAAACTAATGAATGGAGAGGATAAACCCGGTTTCTAGCGTAGTAAGTCCGCAGACATACCGCTGTGCCACTACACCGAAAATTGTTTACTTTTTTGGAAAGCTATATAATAACTCTTTCCGACGGAAAATATTTATACACTCAGATCATAAAGACGTGTTTAGATTGGGTATTTATAATTTCCAAAAAGGAATATCATTTGACTTAATAGCATTTAAAAACAAAATAATACGATGAACTTAGGGCACCAGGACTATCCATAAAGAGACATGCAACAAGTTGAGCACCAGTCGTGGTAAGCAAAGCGCGATGTTCTGTAACAGATGAGAATCTTCGAACACAAAGGTAGGTGACAAAAGCTATCCACGTGCCTCAGGCAACAGTACACAACATAATCAAGAAATATTTTCGTCTCGAAATGAGGGAAATAGAATTAGGGTTCACCAAAATAAGGCTTCTAGTCATATCTGAAGTAGCTAGAAAATGAAACGCGTATTCATGCTACTCCTTAAGAAACATGCCGAACGTAGTACCTATGGATTTCTGTACAATAGAACTGTTGGAACGTGCGATGAGAAACAGTCGTCCTCGTACACTATTGGATTATGGAAAATAAATAGTGAAAAGAGGTGTGCTTCGGACATGATAGCCTTACGACAAAGCATTTGTAATGGAAACTACGCTGCACAGCTTTTACCAAGATGCACGGTGGTCACACAAAGCATGACCAGACGTGGTGACATAAACTGTAACGACTTGTCGAGGCGCCAAAATCATCTTAGTATAACGTGCACAAAACGAAGTAAAGCATTAAATCGTGATTTTGTTGAAATCAAAATGCATGTATGCATGGATATATGTACTGATCTTAGGTGTTTGAGCGCGTGTGGTCGGTATGGAAGCAGAAAATATCAATCAAAAATGACGGGTATATTTAAGATTAAAATTTGTGGAATTGCATAACTGTTAACAAATATATTATAAGAAAGCTAGATATACCTATGATTTATCATCGATACAATGACAAATAAACTCATTCACATATATTTGCTATGGCTATAGTATTTTATATCTTCCAGAGAATGTGTATATGAACGCTAGTTCTGCATTAAGGATTAGCCGTTTTTGAAAAGCCTTGGTTATCTAAGGTGGAGCTAATTTTAGGTGGCAGAAATTCTAAGATACTATAGTAGAGTGAGCTAAAACTTTGTCCTTTGTCTGTAAAACGTATAAAAAATTAAGGAAAATATAGATGTTTCTTACAACGAAAAGCTATAGAAGCACGTGGGCTCGAGGTGGCTACGGTTTAAAGAGTAAAGCTACCATTAAAGTATCTACCAAGTGAAAGTATGGTATAAGGCTAGGAGCCTGATGTTTTTAATATACGTTTATACTCGTCAATAACACATGGCCGAGAAACCAACATATCTAAGAACGGATAACATCACATGTATAAACGATTTGACATTGAACTTAGACTTGCTTGTTTGTTGAATTTCGGGCAAGGCTCCACGAGAGATATCTACGCTAGCCGTGCCTAATTTTGATGTGATAGACTAGAGAGAAGGAAGCTAATCAACACCAGCCACCGCCAACTTTTGGGCTACTCTATTCGAATAATGGGATTAACAGACACATTTTAACGCCCCCACGGCCGAGGGGGCGAACAAGTTCAATAATGAAATTCGAACCCGCGACCGACAGATTGGGTGTGAATCAAGTACCTTAAACACCAGATCATGCCAAGCCCCTTAGACTTAGATGTTTGCAGTGGGATAATACCGTTACAAGTAACAGCAGCATATTGAACATAAGGCCATGCATTATATTTCCACCCATTTCTTCGCCTTCGATTTGTCTACCCTCAGCTACAAATGGCATTTGTTCGAGTTGCACTACATTGTAAGTAGCCCATATAAACATTTTGATCTCCTTTCTGTATCCAAGTAACATATTCAACCCCTGTTGTTGTGCGTTAAGAAATGTGAGTCAGATTTGATAACCACGAATATTTGAAGACTGTTTGATTGATGTTTCCGAAACCCCAAAAATAATCATCTCATAATCTCTTAGCATTGCTCGATTCATTCTTTGAGTCGTTTGATATTTTGAAATGTTTTCTGAAATGTATCTTAAAAGTGATTTTGTTCAACTAATGCGAAAATATTCAGTTCATTGAGAATTTGTCAAAAGTGGAAATAAAATAGCTAATAGTTTGTAGCAGTGTTTAAAATGTTATTTACATGCACATGCGCTGGTAGTTCATCTCAGCATATCATTCTGACAGGCTAGAAACGATCTTAGAAATTAAACTCCAACTCATCAATATTAATACTAAATCAAAAATATTTCTCAGTGATACAATTCCTTATTTTATTTTGACATAGTGTATAACGTAAAAAAGTTATTTTTATGAATATTTCCTCGTATTGTTGAATCTATTACATATATCATACACAATAGTACAAGCCTAAAGACCAGGAAATTAGTAGTATTTCTCACAATACTACTTCAGAAATTAATAGTATTACCCTCACAATAGTACATCAGTGATATTACTGACAACACTAAATTAGTGGTATTACCCTTACAATACTAGCTCAGTAGTATTACCCTCACAATACTAAATCAGTAGTATTACCCTCACAATACTAAATCAGTGGTATTACCCTCACAATACTAAATCAGTAGTATTACCCTCACAATACTAAATCAGTGGTATTACCCTCACAATACTAACTCAGTAGTTTTACCCTAACAATACTAAATCAGTAGTATTACTCATAATACTAATTCAATAGTATTGCTTTCACAGTACTAAATCAGTTGTATTACTCTCACAATACTAAATCAGTAGTATTACTGGCAATACTAAATCAATTATATTACTGACAATACTAAACCAGTAGTATTACTACTTCCTTCTTGATCATATGACCGAATAGATTTATGAACTATCTATTTTGGAAAATTATTTTCTCTGCATGTATGCTTAACAAAAACAAAACAGATTTTATTGGTTTAAATATATGTCTCTAATTTACTTTATATTCCAATTTTTACAACGTGTTTTTTATTGCAAATTCTAAATGCTTACAAATAATCCTAAGAGAAAACCGGTTGAGAACCATTGATCTAGTCACAATATATTTCGTTTAATACTAATCACGTTGTTTTAACTTAGTGGTTCTTCTTTAATATTTATAATGATAAAAAAAATGTGCCTTCGTTATTCACACACAGGTTCTTTTGCCAAACACACTCATACATAACAGATAGTGCTAACGTTACCACCATTAACCGTTTGAAAAGAAACAACTACTTTTTTAGGCAAAATGTACTCAAGTTATTAAAGACCTACTGACACGTAAAAGTCAAAGTCAAAAATAAAAGCTTAAACCATTCTGCTCTTGCAAAGAAGTGTTACAATAACTTCGTCACATCATTTGGAGCACCGCTACGTAAAATAAACAAAATAAAGTGCCAACAACTGAATAAACGATAAGCTATTTCTTCCTTCATTTAGAGGTACAGCACCCATACGATCTAGAAATAATCATACATGACTACACAGAAGATTAATGTTGTCTTTTTCAAGTGACTTATAAAAAAATCAATGTAAGAGACGACATCGCCCCCAGGGTAAATCTGAAAGCTTGTAACGCTAAAATCTGGATTTCTATACCCGTGGAGGGCGCAACAAATAGAGCCCATTTCCCTCTACAACAATAAGCAAACAGAAAGACGACACTATTAAACAACAACAAGAAAAGGGAAACGACGGAAAAAAAGTTTTTGAAGGAGCGTCAATCTTGGTTTGCGCTAAAACGAACAAAAAAACAACAACAAAAAACAAACTAGAAATTATTTGTAATAAGGGTGACAATTAATGCACTTATTATCGTAACGTGTTCACTTGAAATTAAAAGATGATTTTATCATTGCGTGATGTTGGAATGTAAAAATTATATTTTAAGAAATGTTACAGTTTTGGAACAAAAATGAAGGAATTTTTCACAATTTTAAAACTAATTTATGAACGTTTAAGTAAACTATTTCAGTATAACCTACAGATAATCATACATAGACTAAAGTGATAAAGCTCTCAAAGGGAGGAAAAATAATACTGTTTTGATTTTGTTTTTGAAGTTAAGCAAAAAGCTACACAAAGGGCTATCTGTGTTCTGCCCCCACGGATATCAAAACCCGGTTTCTAGTGTTGTAAGTCCGCAGACATACCACTGTGCCAGTGGGAGGCGGAAAATAATACATTGGTAAGACATGCTTTTGACGTTTAAAGAATTTCACATAACATCATTTTATTAATTTAAATGCAAATTTATGAAGAAAGGATTGAAAAAAGAAAGTTTCAATTATCCTTTCTTATTATATATCGATCACAAATATTTGTGAATTTATTTTCACAACAAAAATATTATTATTAATGTAAAGTCGAGATTTAAGACAGTTTCTTTATACGGCTGATTTTTTCTGGCTTATGCTTTGGGTATTCGTATTAAAAAAATCAGTTTTGGCGATTAGACAACCTGCATTTACCTTTCGTAAATTACTAGAGTTTCTATAGTTACGTGGATGATTGGTCCCGTAGTAGAGCTCTAAATTTCGGATCCTTCCAATATCACAAAATACTCCCTGCAATTTAAGCACAAAGGCCATTGAAGGTTGCGAATTGATAAAGGAATAAATCACCCAAGTAAGATTTTGATTGCATATTATAGTAAACACTGAGTCTTTCTCTACTCCTCAATAATAGAAATGAAACTCTGCCTGAAGAACAGGCTATACTGGTTTACAGACAATTCTGCATTATTTTGTTCTTTCGACTCTCTATTAGGTTGTAAGAGGAAATTAAAGTCAATAGGGACTAGAAACAATGACAATCAGATGATGCCAAATTACAAGATTAATTAAATACGGTTCTTTGTATTGGACTTTACAGAACGAAAACACCATGTTCCAAAAATGAAAACCTGTAAATCTTAAGCTTATATTTCTTATTTTTTTTTGTCCCGTACCTCTACAAATACTTTCAATATGAAGTGATTTTCAAAGTAGGCTTATTTATATACTAAAATCAGAGTAAAGATAAACTTGCAAATGCATTTCTCTTGTTAACTGTTTGAATTACACCTTCTGTTCAAAGAATGATAGTTATTAAAGTAAATCTCATCTCACTGGTTGAACCTTTAGCAATGAGTGCTTAATAGAACGTCGATGAAACATTTATGTCATAAAGAATATGAAACAAAGGGTAAATAAATCATTGATTTAAAGTTACTTACGGCATCCAACTTCGTCGGTCCAAGAAAAGTGGCAATGAATGTTACCATCACAGACCAAACTCTTATCGATACAGTAACTGTTTACGCATTTAAGTTGGCCTTCGTCGCATGTTGAATTTTCTAAAGCAAAAAGTAATAATAAAAAAATGCAAAGACAAATGAGAATTAGTTACAACATTATTGTAACTAATTAATATACTTCGAGGAAATTATAGGAGGCAAAACTTAATAATTAATTTTGTAATTTTAAAAACAAATCAAAATATCTAATTTTACTTTATTGAAGTAGTTTTAAAAAAAACTAATGTAGGCCTGTATACCTCAACTTCAACGAACTATAAAAGTAGAAGTCTAACTTACCACAACCTATCAAATGAGAACCATCAGCGCATCCTTGTCTAGAATCACCATTCAGGAAACACCTGTGATATTGATTAACGCACTGTCCACTTCTGCACCGGAACTCGTTTTCAGCGCACGGTTGATTAGTTTCTTTTAAAATATAAAATAAAAAGAAAACATTAATATTTTGTTTTCAGTTTTTTTTAACCACTAAGAATCTAAGTAAAACAAATTTGTTATTTTCACAGTGCGGATGAACAATTAAATCATAGTGACATTTGAAACCAACGTTCTTTTTGTTTTACACAAGTGTACAATGATTTGTAATAGAATAAAGACGAATAGAAATCTAATGAGTTATGGGAAATACTGTAGGTAATAAAGTGATTAAATTATTTGAAGCAAAATACTGCCGATATAGAAAAAATTTGGATCGAAAGGAGAACAAAAGTTTCGGAGCTTTAAATAGAAAATCACGGAAACCTCAAAATATACTATGATCATTAAAAACAATTAAGATGGGATGTAGGGATGAAATACACCTGAAGGAAAAGGTAACGTTACTTCCAATATAACTCTGAATTACTGTTTCTGTTATTATCTTTTTAGTACAAAATGAGCTATCTACACTCTGTCCATCGCAGAAATCGAATCCCGGATTTTAGTGATGTAAGTTCGTAAATTTATCCCTGACCCACTGGAGGAAAACTCCGAATTAACTTGAATAAAAGTAATGTTCTCTTTTGACGTATCTTCTTTACTACATCATATTTATTACTGATTTTAATATGTATATTAGGACGCCTGTAAACGTTCCAACTTAGTCATGACAGATAGATATAGCTATTAACACAGAAGTTGAATAAGAATAGAAGTTAGCAGCAGTTAAAAAGCATTAAAACATTAGAATAAATTAATAGATTTGTTTGCTTATTTGTAGTTCAGCACAAAGTTATACAATGGACTGTTTATGCTGTGCATACCACGGGTATCGAAACCAAGTTTTTAGGGTTATAAGCCTTCAGACTTACTGCTGAGCCACTGAGGGCTAATAATACTAATAAGTAATAAGGGGAAAAAAGAGATGAAATATATAGGTTCGTAAGTTCTGGGAAAAGGTTTGTTTGTAGTTATGCACAAAGCTACATAACGGGCTATCTGTGCTCTGCCCATCACGGGTATCGAAACCCGGTTTCTAGCGTTGTAAGTCCGCAGACATACCACTGTGCCACTAGGGGCTCTGGAAAAATGAAATTAAAACAAAACAAACATAGGCTTAGGTCATTCTTTGAAAAAATATTTATAAAACGAAAGGGATTGATTAGTAAAAAAATGTCCCTTAAGGATAAATACAAACAAATATTTAGCAAATACCAGTATTTTTAAGTAGAAAAATTAAAAGTCACAAAATATTGTTAACCAGTGCAGTAGGAGATAAACACAGCTCAATGGTTATTGTGCTGGACTGTGGATCTGAGGTACTATGGTTCGTGCCCCCATAACCATTAAAGAAAAAAAACACTTTCGGGCCTTAGGTACATTATAAGAGTGACTGTCAATTTCCACTATTCTAGTTGCCTTCTCTCTAGTTTATCAAGTCAAAATTAGGGATGGCTAGCGCAAGTAGCTCCCGAGTAGCCCTCGAGCTTTGCGCGAAAATTAGCAACAACAACAACTGCGCAGCAGTGACCGTCATTCATTTCAAATATACCTGCAAGTAGTATTATCCTTGAAGCTATGAAAGAGTTGTTCAGTAGAAACTATATAGTAAATATTAAGTTCATCCATTATTTTAAGAATAGTTAATAAGTAATAATAGCAGAGAGAGAGAGACAAACATCAAGATCGTTATTATTTATAACTTACCGCAGAACTTTTCATCTGAAAAATCTGGACAATCATGTCGGAAGTCACACCACCAACTTAACTGGACACACTGACCACTCAAACACTTTCTGTACCCTTCAGGACAAAGTTTGCTTTCTAGTAAAATAAATATATTTTTTTGACAATTAGAATTTTACTCCAGGAAAGTAAATATCGATTAATTAGTTTTTTTAAATACACATAGTCAAATAGTCTAACACATTGGAATGAAGATAAACTTATGTATGTAATAGATTAACGCATAGGAATGAAGATAAAGTTATGTATATAATAGACTAACACATAGGAATGAAGATAAACTTATGTATATAATAGATTAACGCATAGGAATGAAGATAAAGGTTATGTATATAATAGACTAACACATAGGAATGAAGATAAATTTATGTATATAATAGACTAACACATAGGAATGAAGATAAACTTATGTATATAATAGACTAACACATAGGAATGAAAATAAACTTATGTATATATATAGTCGTATAGCAAT